CATACTTTTATAGATCGCAAATAAAAAGACATTTCCACCTGGAGTATTTCTATGAAACTCAAGAAAAATGTCTCAAAATACTTCTTACATGGAAGTCCAAACACTGTTGTACTGAATGCATGCAATACTTTTTTTTTCCTGCAATAATAGTTGCATGAAACTGAAACGAAATTGATTGCAAATTGAAATACACAGAAGCCATTTATAACATAATTCCATTAGAAACAAAAGTTCTACGAAAGCAACGGGCACAATATACCAACGGTTATGGCGTATTGAAACAATAATGTAGGTGTAGGGTAGTCTTCTTCGAATGAATCATTAAATTGTAAGGAAAATCTTTTAATTGAAGATAAAATATTTCTGAATCGTATATCGCTGTATATATTACTGTTTTAGATACGTATCATACTTCATTTTTTGAAACCGAAATTTAATTACAAAGCATTCTAATAATCACTTCATTTTAAAGCTTATGTTCTTAGCAAATTCATACGAAGAAATGCACAAAAATAAAACGGATTTCTTAGAAATTGTCCACTTAAAGTGTAGTCTGTGACATAACTCGTTTCAAAGCAAACATCATTTTGAATTTAATTCCAATTACCGTACATACCTTACTTAGCATATTTCTGATTCGTCTCCTACGTTGTAAAGATAACATAACATATTGTGATGTGACATTATGAGGGGTTTCTTATTGTGATTATGATATCTGTTTTATTACATTGGAAAATGGGGAGTATATGTGACTCAGAAATGTACTTAATTTTTTCAGTAGATAGATTTGTTGTAATTCAAAAAGTGTATAAAGTTTCGTTACTAATACAGAAATAAATATAAATTGTATATATTGTGAATGTTTCGTTTTTGAATAAATCTGATGTGAAAAATATGTATTACATGTTTAAGTTAGCTATTGTTCATTGTATTATTTCAAAGTGCTTTAACTGAAAGAATTAATTGAAACAAGTATCAAAAGTAAGTGGATTTTTTTTTTTTTTTTAAAGCCTTTCTTTCCTCTACTACTTCCTTTTTTAATTTCCCACATTAAGAAAGGAAAATGAAATCTTATTCGAACAATATTTATCATTATAAGATGAAATGAAAGAATATTTAATCTCGTTAATGTATTAGTATGTTTATAGGAAGAAATAGGTCTCATAATTGTTTAAAACATTTATTGTTCAGATTTTTTTCACACTTCAACTTTTTGTAATGCAGCTTAAGAAAAAGCTTATCACAGCTTGACACATAATAGCAAGTTTTTAAGATCAAAATTGTGTACTGTCTTGGTTTCATAAAGAAAGTCATAAATAAATGTCATCTAAGTTTCAATGTTTTGAGATTTCTTCTAAAATGTGATATGCACTATTTACCTAATTACTGACTGACTGACTGACTGACTAGAAATACACTCATCATTTAATATTGAAAAACAGTTATTTTTAAATGCACATGTTTTTTTTTATTATTATTATTTTAATTTTGTAATTTATATTCTCTTCTAATAAAAAGTAAGGCTGTTTCTCTTATTACTCTATCATAAAGAGACAATCTTCTGTTGAAAATCATCCATAAAGGCATTCTATTATCACACTGTACAGTTTGATCTAAAAACTTTCATAGTAAAGGAATGAAATACAAAATTTTTTTATTCTAATACAACTTCATGCATAAAAAGTGACACGTAGAGATTGCCTCTTCAAATAAATCCAATAATTCCAAAACGTGCAGTTACAGATTTTAAATGAGCTTCTTATATCTTCTCAAAATACTTCTTATTTGCTGAATTGCCATATATGATTGCCTTTGAAAATTTCACGACGTGTTAATACGTAAGTATCTCTCATGCTTTTAAAAATACGGTTTCTGTTGTTTACGAAATGGAATGGCAAGTCGATTCAATTTCTGCCTCAATGGGGAAATATTTGTCATGTTAATATTTTTCTTTTAAACGACACATAAAGGCCAGTACTGGTAAACAAGGAAAAAGTGAATCTGCCTGCTTTTTTGCATATTTGAATAATCCAATGCAAAAAGATGAAAGTATGGTTTAATATGAGATTACTTTTCAGCTCAATACAATTTTCAAATCATACTTTCAGTTTATCAAATTATGACAAATTTGAATTTACTGAGATTTTTATTTCTTGTGTGTAGATTTAACATTAACCATGAAAGCTGTGTATGGTTTTTTGTAAACAAAGCTACATGACAATATTACAGTACCTGTTTTGAAACAGCTTTCATATAACCTATATTGTTTATTATCAATTTTAGTAGCATTCATGAGCTAATTAAAAGAAGTTTTTTTCATGTTCAGACATTTGATGCTTATGCAGGGAACCTATGTGTGTCCATGTGTAGATTATGCATATTAAGTAAGCAATGTTATTTATAAGACCATATGTAATTTTAGCAAACATTGAGTTTGATATAGGACAGTATTCAATTTTTTTTCCTTCCCTTAAAATTACGTACTACTAATGTCAGTTATTCTGGATGAGTACAATAAAAAAGGAAATACATGAATACTTACTTTGAAATACATGAATTTTCAACTGACTTGGGTTTATACTTCTGACTTGGAAACTTTATCCTTTTTTTTTTTCATTTATTCAAGTTTAGGTAAGTATTTACCATGCGTAAACTTTCCAACATGGTAATTTGGCCACCAGCGGCTGAGCGTTAAAGTCGCTGAACACTGGTAGTTCGAATCCAGCAAACTCGCTGGCTGCATGGGCATTTTCGTGGTTTTCCCTGTCTTACATATATACAAGCCAGTTTCCCTTAGAAAGTCCTCCATGAAGGCATCCCTCTCTTTAGGCAGATAGCCCTAGTTTGCTTTGCCGTAATCTCAATAAAACCAAACAAAAAAACAACATGAGAATAAGAGAATTTTTCTGTAAACTGTAAATTATTTGCCACTTTTTACAAGAGTAAAAGGAATTGCATTTTTGTCCATATGTTTTAACTTTTTAGGTGAAAATCGATCCATGTATACATGTACAAACTAATTGTGTTTCTTATCTGTTAAAAAATTAGAAACAAACACTTCAATCATTCATCGTCAATTTAGAATTTAAAAAAAAAGAACAAATATGAAAATGTTCATGCTTCCTGTTAAAACTGACTGTGGACGTTTGACAATGTATATTGAACTGGAATATTTTGCAAGTTAATATATGCTTCTAAAAATATGGAATGGCAAGTCAGTCATACTTCTCCAGTGATGTGTGCCAAATTGCTAAACATATCTGAGTAAACAAAAAGGTAATTCTAAATTTCTATGTATGAAAGAAATTTCCAGATTACATAAACAGTATTTTTCAGTTTTCTACTCTTAGTATTTTCTCACATATCAATAATTCATTTTAAACTATATAGCCCACCAGCGGCCGAGCGGTAAAGACGCTGAAAACTGGTAGTTCGGTCTTTTGTTCGAATCCCGCGTACGGGCTGGCTGCATGGGCGTTTTCGTGGTTTTCGCCATGTGTAACGTGTATACGAGCCAGTTTCCCTTAGAAAGTCCTCCACGAAAGGCATCCCTTCCCTAAGGCAGATAGCCCTAGTGTCCTTTGCCATAATTAAATACACCACACCACACCTTATAAACTATAATCATTTTCAGAATTAAAAAAAAAAATTAACATTCATTGAACTGTCTTATTGTTGGTTTATGAATGCAAGGACAGTCAATGTGCTTTAAAATTCAGCATTCAGATAAATGTTTACTGTTTTGATGAGTAAATGTGAAAATAGAGTATTACTTTTGTTTCTCAGAGAATGAAGATATGATTTCTGACAATTTGATCAATTGCGTAATATGTCAGTTAATGTTTTTGTTATATTT